AAAAAAAAAAAAAGGCCAGATAGTCGATATTTTTCCCTTTGTGGCCTAACCAGTCCCTGTTGCAACTGCTTGACTCTCCTGTTGTAGCACAAAAGCAGCCACAGACAATATGTAAACAAATCAGGTGGCTGTGTTCCAATAAAGCTTTACAAAAACAGGCAGCAAGCCAGAACTGGCCCATGGCCATAGTATGCCAACCCCTGTCCTAGACCTGAAAAAGGAGTACTTTTAGACAAGATACCCCAACAGGCTTGAAACGAGGAAAAGGTACTACAGTGTCCCATAATATGTGCAAGCCAGACTCACCTGGATCCAGATCAGACGTCTGGCCTCTTTCAGACCTTTGTGTTTTCATTTTCCATTCATTTTCTAGGTAAAAGTTACTACTAAAAGTTCTAATTGTGCTTTGGCTCAAATTAAGAGGAAAAGACTTTTTTCCACATTTCTGTTAGATTAGAAGAGAAAAGACTGGATGTGGGGAGGTGGAAAGAAAGGAAGTTAGTGGCGGCAGCTTTTGTACCAAAACCAAAAACCAAGAAATGGAAGGGTTCTGACACAGAGGGGAGAGCCAGAAATAAAGTCCAGCTATAGATACTAGACTCTTCCTTCTACCACATAGCACATCCCAACCTGGCACTGACCCCCAGTTGAGGTCCTTAGCAAAAACTTAACCCTCTAGGAAGTACTGTTCAGAATGTGGCAGAAGTTCAGCTTTGGAAAAATGTATCTGTTCTACACTCAATCTTCTTTCCTAGGAATTGTTTTGTTAAATTTGGTCCTGCTGGGCGGGCATGGTGGCTCACACCTGTAATCCCAGCACTTTGGGAGGCCGAGGCAGGCGGATCGCTTGAGCTTAGGAGTTTGAAACCAGCCTGGGCAACATGGTGAAACCCCATCTCTACTAAAAATACAAAAAAATTAGCCAGGTGTGGTGAGGCGTGCCTATATTTTCAGCTACTTGGGAGACTGAGGTGGGAGAATTGCTTGAGCCCAGGAGGTGGAGGTTGCAGTGAGCCGAAATCACACCACTGCACTCCAGCCTGGGTGACAGAGTGAGACCTTATCTCAAAAAAAAAAAAAAAAAAGTTTGGTACTGTTTAAGTAGATCAGGAGGAAAACAGGCAAACACTTGTATAAATGACGGTGAATATTTGATGGCTTGACTTGAAATAATTGTCATTACTACCCAAGCAGTAACACCATCCAAGTGGTGGCAGCACTGAAACAACAGAAACTCCTAAATTAATAACCAGCTTCCCTCTGGATAGCTACCTCAATAGCAATTTCTTTGAGTGACAGTAAATATTATATAACAACATGAAACATGACAAGGAACAGATTTTAATTAATATCATGTCTAATTAAATATGATAATGCCATACCAGGCAACTGAAATTATCTGTC